TTTACCCCCTCAAAGGTTTCACTCTTCACGCACAAAAAGGCACATTTCGAAGTATCAGCAAATTTGAAATCCCATTTCCTAAAAGAGGATTCGTGAGGTCATGAATACAACTCAGATTTTTTCAAGCTTAAATGTGAAATGCAAATGTCACCAAGGAATAGCTGGGGAGGACAGACTGTGTTATACCTGTCACATCCGGTGGGCACTTGACCAAAACAATCCAAAGTTTGTTTAGATGTGAGTCCTACTCACATCTAAATAAAGATAACAATATAAATGCTATGTGATGTCATGCAATAACAGTGCAGCATCCAATACATCCAGACAGCTGACTTTTCCTACAAGAACTGTCATCTGGCATTCAGAAGAGCTGCCATATAACTGAAGGAAACACTTCTTTGAGACCTGGAAGCTTTTTTTCCTCCCAATCCTCCTTAAGATGTAGCCTGCGTAATGAACTTATAAACCATCCAGGGAATGCTTTAAGCACCACATTTTGCTTTGCTTGTGTTTTATAATTACATTTATAGCTCCAAGCTTCCCCATCTAGAAAGAACTCCTGGATAACTCAGGGGTTTAAGTCTCTGGCTGTGGAGCCAGAGGTGGGGAGTTGGATCCCCCACTGGGCCTCTTAGACAGGGGCTGGACTCGATGAGGGTCACTTCCAGTTCTAAGATTATTAGTAGATGAACACACATACTATATGAACATCGGAGGCCTTTGTATAGTTTTCGTGTGTTTCACTTGGCCACTTGAGGTTTGCATCATGTGTGAAAGTGGACATCTGACGAATTTGAGTTTCTGTTGATATTAATAGTGGTGAGGTACAGGAAGAGACAGGCATTTGCCTTTGGCTTATGGGAAGTGGTGGAGGAAAAAACCTGAGATTAGGAGAAACAGGGATCAGACAGGATGCCTCTGAACCAGCAGCTAGACCAGTTGTTTCATTGTTGGTTTCTCCCCAACAATAGGTCACAACTTCTGAATTTATGTAACACGAAGATCTCCAAACCTGGTATTAATGCCTAAGAATCAGTGTTAAGTGATTTAATACCATGGTTGTTAAGACAAAAGCAGGATTCCTCTTCCTTTTATATGTCCAACTAGAATAAGATAAGTGAAGAAATATTAAAAGATTTGCAGTGAAAATGAGACAATGTATTCTAAACTGAGTATCACTGTGATGCCCTGCATTTTCATAGAGCTGACCTTTGTAAGCACACGGGGAGACATCAGAAACATTAACCATGTAATCCTCAGATGCCAGTGGAATAAGATACTACACAAAACTCATGAGAGACTTTTACGATCATACTTTTATTGTATCACATACTTTACTCATAACAATTCTTGTGACCGAAATAGTCAGTTAAAAATACACCATTCATTATTAAAAACAAGGCACTAGAACACATTCAGATTAAAAATGCAAATACAGATAATATGACCTTAAAAAACTGAAGTGTATGTCAGAAATAAAATTAAAACTCCCAAATCTATAGTTGTTTTTCATCTAGCATAAAAAAATCTGCCATTTTATAAATGGAAGAAAATATAGATACTGAGTAGATAATAGGATTGGAAGGAAAATAGGATGAACTGTAGAACTTTTGTACCTTTCTGAGGTACCGTCTGCAAATCTGTGGTCAATATCCGATTTTGAATAGAATGCCTTTTGCATGCCCAGTTGCCATGTCAGCCATGGCAGGATTACACCATTGTCTTCTGCTCCTCATAGTATACAAGCATATGTCCTTTTGCTGTTTTTTGCTGTTCTAGCCTATCAAAATTAAATATATCTTTCTCTTACATAGTCAGGAAAGAAAACGGGAATCAATCAACTCCACTTGTAAATTATCTGATTTGACAAAAGCATAGAATCTAAATAAGCATTTTAACTGTACATGTGTGGAGACTTAAAAACATTTGTTTGAGACATTTCTCTATGCCATTTTTGTTTCCAATCTACCCCAGATGCAATGGCTTGAAAACTGTTATGTTCTTTTTGATGAAAGAACAATCTTTTATGAGAAATCTAAAACCTAGTTTTGAAAACAACTTCCACTGCTTTATCCTAAAATATATACAAAAACAAGGCACCTCTTGACTTTTATTTTATGTTTTCCATAAACTTATGAGAATTACTAAGGCAACTGGCAATGAAACAGTTGTGTAGTGACTTCTATCTTCATTCCAAGTCACTCTTTAATGTCTTTAAATAGTATTTTGGCAACGAGGGCACTGAGAAACTGCTAAGATTCTGCTAGTTTTAGAGATGTGGATAAACTATAGCTGCCCTTTTAAAGGGCTAACATAATTTTGGAAAATGATAAGAAAAAAAGACACAAATGGCAGCAGGTTACATATAGATATGTTTGATTGGTATGACAAAAATGACTGGTATCCTTTCATGACTGCTTGAAATTTGGCTTATTAGAAAAACCAACCTGCATTGTTTTGTTTCATTTTAAAACAAGACTTTCACAAAAGGTAAGGGCAGAGAAAGTGGTTACTGGTCACACACCATTAGAAGAGAATTCCCTAACAGCTCAGTGCGACTGAATGCAGAGCAGGAGCTTTATGTAATTTGCAAATTAACTGGTTTTGTGATTGGTCCTCAGGATTTAAGCACAGGACTCTTTTGAAGTCTGAGGGCAAAATCCTAACATTATAGATAGCTCTTGAGTAGAAGAGGAAGATTCTTAAGGGCTGGTATCACAGTAGGAGCTCCTCTCAACTCCTATGGAATTTGCAAATTACCTTCCTTTCTTTTAAGCTTAGCCTTCAGGACTTAGTGCTTTGTTTTGTGATTTGGTCTTCAGGTCTTAAGACCATCCCTTTGAAGTCTGATTTCTCAAATACAGAACGATTGTCTGAATCACAGTCTCGCCAACACGAGTGTGCTTTCAACTTTAATCATGGGCTATGTGTATATTATTCTGCCCTCAGAAAATAATTTTTGAACTTATTAAAGGTAAACTGAAAACTTCTAAATGATCTAAAAATAAAAACAGAATATGTTAAAAGGATATATTGCTTACATGATAATTACAAGGAGCCACCAACACTATGGGAATATGGCATTTTGATTAAATACATGGCTTGGATCTGAGCCCTGAAGAAGCAGAAACACTTCTAATGGTGCAAATAGGGGTTAAGTAATCAATTTCCCAGGCTGTTGCAGCTTCTCATGCTGCCTTCAACCTTACAAAACTCCCAAGGACCATCCATAGTCACATGGAATGCACTGCTGGAACCTGCTCTTGGGGGTATAGTATTAGCAACCCCAATTTCCAGACAGGGGTTTAGATCCAAGCTTCAGCCTTGATGTTTCTTAGAGAAGGAAAAGCAAATATTTAATGGCTCTGAGAAACATTCCTAACAGCTATTTGCCGGTAGTCTCTGTTCAACTCCCAGCGTTTTTCATTTTGGTATCTATTACACTGACATCAGTTGCATGAAGCCAGGATTATCCTGTCAAAACATGTTAAAACAGCACATTCAGCATTCTCACAGATACCTTGCATTTTTTTGTTCATATTCTAAAAGCTACAATTTCAAATTGATTCAAATAGGCAAAACATGTTCCTTTTATGACCTGATGTAGCAAGATCTGTCTGGTTTTTCTGGCAGGAGGAAGATGGCTGTAGTCAGTACCTCTCAATTTCTGCTCTCTTCAGTAGCAGCCTCACATCTGAATCCATTTGGAGTCGAAATACTAAACACTAAGTGATATAAGTAAATCTCCTTAGTGCTGTACAATATTTTGGACCAGCCTTAGATATTGTGTATTATTCATGTATTAATAAATACAATTTTAAAATTAAAATCTGCAAATGGATTATATTTGCCAAACAACCTATCAGTCTGATCTTGCATGAGTTCAGAAGAATTCCATCACTTTAAAACAAAATCTAAGGGAGATCAGGCTAAGGCAACATGAATAAGACTAAACAAAATTCCCAGGGTGTGCATATTCCTTATGGGATAGTAATATCTAAACCTGCTTTATAAGAAATGGGAAAATACTTGACTCTATTGATTTGGATTTTTGATTTCTTGATAACAGTGAAAATGAAAGATCATCACGATATATATATTACCACAGATGCAGGCCCTATAAAAAGTGGGGCCAGCAGGGCCATTTGCTGGGCTCATGGGGCGGGGGGGGGAGGCGCCTCTTCCCAAACCATAAGCCAGACACAACTGAATTGGGCCAAGAAGTGGGCTGGAAAAGAAGGCACTAAAAACTCATCGTTAGACACCACTGTTGTCTTCCTCAGCAGTTGCCTCTTACCTCCAAGTACAGCAAAATGGACTACATTACGCATCTAAACTGGCTATTGCTAAATTGACCCCTGTAAAACATCTGACACCTGTAAAATATTTAATGAAGGACCCAGATAAGAAGTTTTCAGTGAGGGGAATAAATTATATTATTATTATTATTAAAATATTTAATGAAGAACCCAGATAAGAAGTTTTCAGTGAGGGGTGTGTTTAAACAAAATAGGTAGTACTACTTCCCAGCTTGTGCCTAAAGGAGGCTGAGTCTTATGGAGAAACTTTATTTCTGGCCTGGTTGCCATTCCACACGTGCTATGGATTGCTCAGGCAAAATGAGGTGGTCCTGGATCACTCTCCTACCTTCTGGGCCAGATCATCAGCATTGGACACCGAACTAAGAGGCTTCAAAGTTGGTTCTTTTGTGGGGTTTGGATTTAGGTTGTTTTGTGACTCAGTCTTGTGGTTTGAGAGCAACATATGTCTACTACGTGAGACGATAAATAGCAGTTTACCCCAGTTATTTGAGACTGTTTGTTGTGAGACAAACCTGGGCTGCTTTTAAAAGGTGGGGTTCTTTTTCGCACACAGTTTTTCTATAAACTACAGACCAAGGCATCTGGATTTAAAATGTATTATTGAATATTATTCCTGTCAGTGAATCTTCCTTACATCCATGTTTTTATGTATATACAGGAAAAGCATTTGGCAATATCTCCACAAAACAGTAACTTAAAATTTATTTGACCTTTTCCAGTGCTAAGGTGCTGACACTCAAAGAGTCTGTCATAAAACAGGTGTCATAAAACAGGGCTCAAGGGAGGGATATATTTGCAAGCATGATAGGTTTTAACATGATTACTCTGATCCTCTCCAAGTGCTACTGCATTTTCCAAATAAATTTGGTTTGAAATCCAGTAAAGCCCAATACATATGTACAATGTAGTGTTTACAACAGAAGTAAATGAAAACTATATGTATTTATGTTAACAAAACACATTCACTAAGTACTTGCCTAAGAAGAGAATGTGTGTTAAAATAATGTGATACTTGTGCACCAACGACCACACAAAATAGGACAATCTTCTACATAAACGTCCAGCATTCAGCTAAAGCTTAAATAAGAAAAGCATATAGCAAAAGATTTATGAATATATATTTCTTTGGATAAAATAACATTCATTCATTCTCCACCCCTCCCATACTTAGTGCTGTATGCAAAACTAGAAAAATACATTTTCAACCTGAGAATACGGATTGCAAATGTCAAAGTAAGAAGTGTCTGGAACCAGGAATTCAAATATACTAACAGAAGCACAACACACAAATTGATGTATACATTTAGTGCATCAGTTGTACATAGAAGGCCTGAAACACTCATCCAGAGCTTGTAAAAGCTACCTTTTTAGATTACCTGAAGAGGAGGGTGGGTGATATTTTTATTAGGCCACTATCACCTGCCCTTGTTTTTGGATTTTCTACCAAGTCCACACAGCTTTTTTTTCTTTTTAGACTTCAGCTCCTAATTTCTCCCAGACACTAGACATGTTGGCTGTAGATTTTGGAGCTGCAGTCTGAAAAGTAATTTTTCCAAGCTGTACCAGAGTCAAGCAAAACCTGAACGGCTTGCGGAGTGTTTGGGAGGAGGCATAAAAACAAAAGGAAAAAAAATGGACACCTTATGGGGCTGTATTCAGTTTAAAGTGTCACATGGGATGTATAAAAGGCATCCTGTGCAGGTTGAGCCTGTGGAGTAACAGAATCAGAGACACTTGTGAAATAAGGAGCCCTCTGTCAGGGCAATGCCAACTGATCGTAGGCAGCCACAGGTAAGGCATGAGCCAGCCAAAGATAGCACTTATGCAGTAACAGGAGTGATGAGTACTGTGACATCAGACCTGTTTCTCTTCCCCTGTACACCACTGCTGCATTATATTAGGGGCATATTTATGCAACAACCTAGGAATGATGCAGTGGCCCAGGAGCTGTGATCAGGAATAGAAACTTACAGCATAGTTTCTCTGTCAGGGCACTTCTATATGAAACAAGGTTGTTAGGATTTCCAGAGCCTTGTTTGGAAACTATACAGAATGGCTTTAGATCCCAAGGGGCATACATCTACAGTATTTGCTAAATCCACAGGATCAAGCAATTACAAAACCAAGTTCAAAAGGTACTGCATTTTTAAAAAAATGAATAACATTACATTAAAACTAAACATACTTTTTTCTTCACTATAACAAATAGCTAGCCATTCAGTGCAAAAAACAGTATTTTCAGTTAAGAGCAACATTTGGTTTGCATTGTATTAATACTACATTCTACTAAAAAAATCAACAATATGAATAATTGCATGGGATCAGAGTGCAGTTTCAAAAATAATTAATCCTTGAGAATTGTCCTCTGATGAGTTGGTAGCTGCTTCACCATTTGAAATAATTTCAGGATACTTCTTCTTAAAATAAACCTAGGGAGGGGGAAAAGTTTTATGTTAGTTTTATAAGGCATTTTGTTATAAAGATTGTGACTTAAGAATACACATCCATAAGAAAAGTACACATTTCAATTTTTCATTTTTTTTAACATTAATAAAATTACTTTCAGCTCCTTAGTAATTTGCAGCAAAGCTGAGGTATATCAACACATAGGTCTGCCATCCTACTCAAGGGCTAATAATTCAGATCAATGGATAACTTTATCAGTTGACATTAAATTGATAAATAAAATCCTTTCACTGGCTCAGAAATGGAGATAAATTAAAAACAGGGTGACAAAGCAGCCTCGAAATCTAGTGTCTGCACAAGGGCTTTTCATTTTCACACATAAAAATAAGCACAATGGATTTGGATGTTAATATCAAGGTTGTAATCCCTGCATTTTACAAACTATGATTGACAACCATTGAAAAATTCAGGATGTACGTATGAAATATCCTGGCGTTTAATTTGCACCGTGGAGGAGTCATAGAGCCTTATAGAAATGTGATCTGGGGATAGGGTGCCACAATAATGAAAGGGAAAGGAAAAGCTGTAACAATGGCCCTACCAAGCAACTTCTCTAAAATGTAAGATGATACCAAATAATAGGACAGTTCTTTGCCGAGCCTTTGAGTTCTTGAATTCTACCAATTTCTAGCTGAACTGCCAGAGATACAGGTTTCCTGATAAATGTATAATCAGAACATAAAGGAAATGAAATGCTGTCAAGTTTCACTGTTCCACAATCATCAGTTTTTAGGAGCTGTATCATATCTCGGTTCCCTGACAGATGCGTGTAACAAAATGAAATAATGTCAAGACTTGTGTGCTCTTATCTGAAAATGTGTTTGGGTGAAAAAGGACTTCAAAATGTATTTCTTCCCCCAAAGAAGAATGTGAAAAGTTTTGTCTGAGCCTTTAAAACACACACACACAAAATACGCTATCTTCCCTGGGGCCGACATGTGTCATGAGTTAGGCCTAATATTCATGCTGCACTGAAAATAAGAACATGAAGCCCATTCTTTGTTCATTTATATTACTTTGAGAAACTCCCAGCAAAACTATTTTAAAAAACCTTATTTTGAGTTATAGGCGAGTGCCATAATTCACTGACCAATCTTACATATGTTGAACACACTCATAAATGCTCTTCTGGGAAGCAATATGCAGAAGTTGCTTTTCAGGTCTTCTTGAGGTTTCATAGAGGCCTGGCAATACATTTTCTCACAAAGCTCTAAAAGCTATGTGTAGGCAGAAATTCAGCAGGTAAAACGTTTTTCATTGCACCATACAGTAGATTATTATGGAATGAATCCTTGCCATACAATCTGTTAGGCACAGGTGCCCAAAGGAAAACAGTTTGCAACTCATTCCAAAAGTATTTTAAGATTTTGGACATTTGTCTAGAGGGGAGTTCTGAAATTCTGAGGCCCATTTCAGACATGCAACAGCTGAATTCTGGGGATCTCTGCTCCAGTACTTATATGTTCGCACCCAGCTTTCACAAGGCTTCTAGATCAAAAATTGGGGGGAAAGAGTGCCCAAATCAGCTTGCACTCATATGTATCTTTGCCTCGTTCACTGGAAATGGCATGAGCTCAGTGCACCACTACTGGAATTGTATCTGCATAGAAGGGTGTGATTGTGACTGATCCTCAAAAAGTTTCCAACAGTTCTATAAACAGGACACATGAACCTTCGGTGTAATCTTGAAATATCAATTTTTTAAAAGTTATCTCTTATTCTATCTACAGTAGATACTTTTCTGTGTGTCTGTAACCAGTCTGCGGTTAAAGCTTCTTTAGAAGAGTTGTTTAACTTTCTTATCTCACTCAAATTATACTCCATCCGTCAGAACCACACCTGACATAACTCCTTCCTCTCTTCCTCTCATCTGAAAGAGGACCACAGTTAAACAGGTGGACTAAGCGCTTGGCATCACACACTCCTTCCTCTAAGCGCTCCACTTTAATGCTACGTGGACATCCTTTCCATCTCCCAACAACTGTTTGTTAAACAACCACTACCAAAAGAATATCAATGTTTTTACCTTTTGCATTTCAATCTTCCCGCCCGTAAGTTTTAACAATGAACACAGCTGATAAAAGGAAGGAGGGCAGGGAGGATTCAGACATGAAAGCAGAGGGAAATCACAAGAAACTTTGAAGCATGCTAAGCATGGTTAAAAGATTAGAAGCATCATGTTCGTACTGAACTTAAACTTCCACTTTTGTAGCCAAGTCTCAAGCACATCCAAGTTAACACAATAAACTGCTTCACTAACCACTAATGCAAAACTGTAAACAACTCTTCCTTTGAATTTCTGCAGTTAAACTTTTGACATATTTCATAAAAGAGATGATGAGCATTTTTGGTTCTTTCAGGCCAAATGTTCCATGAATGACTAACAAAAGAATGTGTGGACAGGAATACTAAGGGGCATTTTGGGGGCATCATCTTCAGGGCAAATAAGAACTCGCATTATTAGAGATGGCTAGGAACTCACAGATTTCAGACTGCCAAATAAAGCCAAGCTGCAATAGAATAATTCCAAATTTTTATGAAGACCTAGGCAGCTAGGGAGCTAGCTAAATGTCTATGTTTATTGCTGGTGTGGAATTTTCTTCCAGCTTGCAATGCATATCCATAAACTAGATAAAAGCAAGGATTCCAGGAAGATGGTACAACTTTACTGTAACTCTGGCTGCACTGTGCAACATGGTAGTATGAAAAATCACATGTAACATCAAGAAGCGTCTGGGAACATAGTATGTATTATCTTCCCCAAATGTAAGAAAACAAACAATCTCAAGCACTGTTGTTTTCTGCAATTGGAGCATGTCATTTTCGGCTCTGAGTATATATTATTTCAAATCCCAGTAATAAAGTGCTGAAAAACACGGACTTGTAATTGAAAAGCTGTAAGAACTATAACTATAGTGGAAGGGATGGGCTTTCTGAAGTCCTGAATAAGCTAACCCCTGAAAAGTAAATTGTTGAGACAAACTTAATTACAACATTTTGCTGGGGCAGGGGAGAGGGACTGTCTTACCTGTTTTGCTGTTTCCATTATGGATGCAGCCTCAGCCTTACCCACTTGCTGAACCATCTTGTAAAACAGGCTCTCCTTTTCTTGAAGTAAAATGTACGGCTCATCATATTCTTTCAGCCTTCCTGCATCCAAAACCTGATGAATCAGCAAAAGCAAACTGGTGAACTTTGGCAACAGCAACCACACTCCCTACAACTTATGGGTCCATATTACTTGAGACATGTGATTACTGGAGAAGTAAACTCTTGCTGCCAGGATTCTTTAGAAACAAAAAAGTGACTTGTAACTTTATCATTCATAATTATTCTTTATACAGTACCATAAGTGTACATGGTGCTTTACACTTTCACATGCAGAGACAAGACAGTTGGGAATAATAATAATGTGATTACTGTCTTCTCCAGCGAGTCTTGGGGCACAACCAGCACACACACAATTAAGCTAAAGGTTTCACAGATAGTTGTGGGTTTTTCAGGCTATTTGGCCGTGTTCTGAAGGTGGTTCTTCCTGACGTTTCGCCAGTCTCTGTGGTCGGCATCTTCAGAGGACTGGAGTAGGAACTCTGTCCATGCTCTGTTGGTGCTTGTTGGATAGTATTTATAGCTGTGGGAATGGCTTTTTGTCTTTTTTTAGGAGATAGGGTGATTAGCATGTTTTTGTTGTGATGCGGGAGTGGGGGGAGAGGGAGAGATTTTTCTATCACTGTGGTTGATGGGTGTCCTTAGCTGGTCTTTTTTGTGAAATGATCTCTGGCCATTGTGGTTGAGTAAGTGTTTGTTGACCTTTTGCAGGTTGTATTTCACAGATAAATTAGGCTAACTAAAATATTGAACATAGAAATACATAATAAATTAAACCCAAACAGGGTAAATCTTAAGAGAGTCAAATTCCTACCCACCATCAAGACAATAGCATTAAGTCAGTTTCACAATATACAGGGGATGGCACAATTACATCACCATTCCAGCTGAAGAATTGTGGGAGTTATTATTTGAAAAGTAACTTTTACATGCCCTGCATATGACAGAGCTCCACATAAAACTCATTAGAGTGGAAAGCAGAAGGATGTAGAACTAGAGCAACTTTTTGGAATGATGATCCACCAGAAAAATTCTTAGGTCCTATATCCCTTCTATTGCATATCTCAGTCATTTTTAGAACCATAAACTGACCTGAGAAAAGGCATCAGGTTATAATAATGACAGTGCTACCTTGTTGCATGTGTGGAAAGTTGTCTCTGGTCAAAATCTGTGGTGTCTAATGCTCCACCCTAGACAGAATGCCTTGAGTCAACCCTGTAGCTGACATCATATTCAAAACGAATAGCTCACTATGTGTATAACAGGAGACATTAATTTTCTTCCATTAAACATGAATGCAAAAATCTTGGTCGTACAGGAAGGAACAATTCCTGACAAAGGGCAGCCCAGGACAGATCAGCATGTGTTCCGAGAAAGATGTTATCGGTGGGCATGTAATGGCAACGATAAAATTGATGCCAAAGCAGGGAAAATAAAAACAAATCCTCAGAGCAGGTGCATCTTGGAAACCGTTATTTCTAGGGAAAGCTGGGAAAATCAGAAGTGAAATATAAAGGCTTAAAATGGAAGGTAGCAAGATTAGAACAAATTTAATTAATACAGTATTAACTCAAAGAAAATACATTGCAGAGTGAATAGAAAAATACAGTCAAACTTATTACTCCAAATAATACATGACATTCAGGACACTTCCCCCCACCCCACTTTTGCTATCGCTGTCTTTCTCAGGTTTACTAAGTCTGCAGTGTTGATCGAACGAAACCCCCCCCCCCAATTCTGTGTAAGGCCTAAAAGACAAAAAAGACTTACCGTGTTTCCCTGAAAATAAGACAGGGTTTTATACAGTGGACCCTCGATTTACAGACGGCTCGACTTACAGACTTTCGAGTTACAGACTTCTCTGGCTGCAAAATTTAGATTCGACTTGCAGCCAGAGAATCGACTTACAGACCAGAAAAAAACCAAAATAGAATAAAAATAGAATAAAAACCACTGGTTATGGGATTAATCGGTTTTCAGTGCATTGTAGGTCAATGGAGATTCGACTTACAGACTTTTCGACTCGCAGCCACCATTCCAATACGGATTAATTCCTTAAGTAGAGGGTCCACTGTACAATTTTTGCTCCAAAAAATGCATTAGGTCTTATTTTCAGGGGATGTTTTAATTTTTTCATGTACAACAATCTACATTGATTCAAATACAGTCATGTCATCTTCTTCTGGTTGCTGCATAATGGTGGAGGGTGGGGTTTCACTTCACTGGGTCTTATTTTGGGGGTAGGGCTTATATTATGAGCATACTAGGGCTTATTTTCAGGTTAGGTCTCATTTTCGGGGAAACAGGGTAGTTGTGATTGGCAATCCTGTAATCCAAGACTCATTGGAGAAGACAATTATGCTGGGAAAAGTTGAAAGCAGAAGGGAAAGGGGAAGATCAAATGAGATGGACTGACTCCATAACCCTCAGTCTCCAAGGTCTAAGCAAGGAAGTTAATGACAGGACTTTTTGGAGGTCACTAGCTTATACTGTCACCATAAATTGGAAATGACTTGACAGTGCATAACAACAACTCATCCTATTAGTTGCTGAATCTGCACTTCCCAAGTCTTTTTGTCGTGCACTACCCTTCTTTCACTTTACCAGATCATCGCCAATGGTGATATTTCTCCTATATCTTTCTCCATCTTCTATATGTAATCCTCACTCCACAGATTCCCTCCTTTCTGGAGCCTCCTTCCAGTCAGCTTTCCAGTTGTTATGCTGTCACCTAGAGATCCTCTCATGACACGCTATGAGATTTTAGCTATGAATCTTTTCTTTGATATCTGAATAGATGGACATGTCCTGCACCTGATGTCAAGATAGGGATCGGAAGTGCTCCCAATATTTCAATTTGGTGTGTTCTTTTGGAGTTTAGCTTCAATCTAGTCCCACCCTTTGTTGGGTTGCAAGACTTTTTTTCCTTCTTCCCACAAGGGAATCCAAATGAATTCCTTCCCTGCTACATATGTGTTTTTTCCTTCTTCCCACAAGGGAATCCAACTGGATTCCTTCCCCGCTACATATAATATGTCTATTTATTTCTGCATTTCTCCACATGTATGCATTCTGGTACACGTTTTCCCTCTTTTCCCTAATTTTTAAACTATGCATTTTAGCTCTTTGCATTTTCAAAAGGTATGCAGGGTTTTGTGCATACCTGATTTTTCTTAAACATCCTGTAAATCTTGCAAATGTGCAGATATATGAGACATGCCCCCCCAACCCTAAGAATCCTGGGAGGCGATCCTGTAAATCTTGCAAATGTGCAGATATTTGAGACAAGGTTTTTCCCCCCCAAACCCTAAGAATCCTGGGAGGCATGAAATGTGTATTTTTGGCAAGAACCTCAATTGAAGCAAAATTCTTTTCCATCCCTAGTGTCAGAGGTTTCACTGTCACAAATGAAATCCTATATTAATTGTTCCTGCACACAGTACACTATCCTGGTTAATGAATCAATCTTGAATTATAGTCAGCTTTCAGATGGGTATATGTATTCCAATATACCTCACACTTCTGTTCCTCTCTCAAGCTTTCAACTTGCTTTGATTTGCCCCATATAACCTTCTTAATATGACATCAGCTCTAGCCACTGCATCTGCAAGAGAGGAATTGGAACTGCAGAAGCTACATGAGGAAGATATCTGTGGACTTGACTAAAACAGGAGGCAGATCTCTTTGTGGGTTGTGTTCATAGGCTATAAGCCCCCTTGCTGCTGCCACCCCTAATTCCTGCAGTGAGATAACCAAGTCTGAGATAACCAGGCTCAGGCGATGGAGCTTGTAATGTGTCTCAAGAAACAGTGAAACAGTTACGGGAGCTAAAGATATTCCAGACAAATGTATTACTGCTTTGCTCAAGACCTTATCACACAAAAGGAAGAAGGAAATATAAGACTTCTGAAAAATCAAGCAAAAATGCTGACAGAACTCTAAAGAAGTGGTGCCAATGTAACTGTCAACATTTAGGGAGAAAGTATAAATGCCTTGGGGTGCAAAGTATCACCATCGCCATTGAAATCAATAGATGATTTGGTATAAGGAAGTATGGAATATAACTATTAATAATAAGTTAACATCTTACATGAAAATTAAGAAAGATTTGCTACATAAAAATAGTTTTATTCCTATATGGGGATATTTTATTGAACTTTTGTTTTAAAGAGAGATGGGTTGTATACCATCACAAGAATCAGTGCAGTTTTGGAGGGGTAACAGCACTCCATAATGAAGGAAAGATTGGTTATATCTCCAGATAGTCCTGATGGGTGGGTGTTCCCCTTTTTGTTTATATTGTGTTACTTTTGGTTTTTGTCTTATTAAGACATTCTTTGCTCAGACATTTTCACTGCTTTCAGTACTTTTTCTCTGCTTGTATAATCAGCCTGTGTGACCTTGGGCAAGCTGTATAGTCCCAGGCCACCCTCTGAAAAAGGTAATGGTAAACTCACTTCTGAGCACTATCTACTGAAAAGGATTGCCATAAGCCAGAATTTACTTGATGGCGGCGGCATCATCATCATCATCATCATCATCATCATCATCATCATCATCATCAAAATATACCAGGCACAGTCAAACTATTGGTACAGCATGTATGCTGTTCCTAATATTGCCGTTTTTTGTAGATCTGATGGTGTGATTTCTGAGATCTGCAACTGCTTATAGTATTCTGTGAAATTTCTTGATATTGTTCACAAGACCCAAAGGACTATAGGGACTGAAGTGTGTTTCTTCTGAAGGCAAGATGTTACGATTGCCAGGTATCTGTACTTTGTTAGTTTTTCCAATTCTTTATTTTCAACTCTGGTACCCCTGGAACTGCAATGTTAATGATCCGGACATTTCTACTATATGTTAATGTTAATGTTAATGATCCGGACAGATATACTACTATATCTGGTGTGTTATGTTCAAGGTGTTTATCAGACTGGATCCAGAAATCCCACAAGATCTTGACTTCCTCATTTTCTGACACCTTCTCTACCTGATGTTCCCACGGGTTTTTGGAGACCAGCAAGTTATATTTTTTGAATAATGACTAGTGCA